CGCTCCAACCAACCAAGCCACCCTGCCAGGGCTGCTTTGTTTCTTTAAAAAGGTTTTTAAATATATTTTTTAATTGCAGTTGACCTTCAATCTTACATTAGTGTCAGGTGTGCGGTGGAGTGGTTAGACATGTACGTAACTTACAAAGTGATCCCGCGATAGGCCGAGTCCCCACAGCCCCATCCATGGCTATCACAATATTATTGACTGTGTTTCCTATGCTGAACTTTACATTTCTGTGTTTTTTCTTCCTTTTCTCATCTTTTTTTCAGCCCAAGGATGAGGCGGCAGAGACGGTGATTTGAATTGTCAACCTCATAGTCTTTGATGTGTGTTAATTTATTAATGCGATCTTTCAGTATATATTTCATTCATTAGATGTATTTGAAAAATATATAAATAACATAAAATACAGGGTGGGGCAAAAGTAGGTTTACAGTTGTGAGTATGCAAAACATAGTTTATTCTTGTATTATTATTATTATTATTATTATTTTTTTTTTTTTATCCTCACCCGAGGACATTTTTCGATATTTTGTTCAGATAGAGGGAGGGGGAGAGAGAGAGAGAGAAACATCGACGTGAAGGGACACATCGAGTGGTTGCCTCCCACACGACCAACCAGGGCCGGGGACAAACTGCAACCGAGGCACGTGCCCTTAGCGGGAACCGAACCCGGGTCTCTCCAGACTGCAGGCCAACACTCTAACCACTGAACAAAATCAGCCAGGGCTATTCTTGTATTATTATTCATTAATTATTGTGTTATTTTCCATACGAACAACTGTAAACCTCCCTTTGCCCCACCCTGTATATGCCCTGCTATCTATAAAGAGAATACATAATATAATTATATACAAGGTAATGTAGATCACATTCATTATCATATTATATGCATATATTATACACAGGCAGACCTCGGAGATATTGGGGTTTGGTTCCAGGCCGCAGCAATAAAAAGGATTATAGTTTTTGCTACTGGAAGGTCTTGCCTTCAGTTTGGGGGAAAAAAGAAAAACATGCCCTGGCCGGTTTGGCTCAGTGATTAGAGTGTTGGCCCTTGGACCAAAGAGTCGGGGGTTTGGTTCCTGTAAAGGCTTGACCTTGTTTGCAGTTCGGTCCCCGACCCCCGCGCAGGGGGCAACTCTCTCTCTCTCTCTCTCTCTCTCTCTCTCTCTCTGTCTCTCTGTCCCTCTCACTCTATCTGAAGATAAATGGAAAAGTATCCTGGGGTGAGGATTTAAAAAGCATAATGCCTGTGAAGTGCAATAAAGCGAGGTAATATAATATAGTACAGAGATTTTTATTATTTTATTTTATTCTATTTTATTTTATTTTATTTTTTTAATTATTGACCCTAGGACTGATGACATTGTGGATGTTCACGTCTCTTTAACAAACTCTCTAGGTAGGAGCTGAAGTGACCCCCGGTGCTTAAGGAGGAGACTGAGGCACACAGGCAGCGGGACAGTGGCCAGGGGGAGAGCCAGGAGGGGTCACAGGAGGAGCGGTCGGGACTGGCCGGCAGGGGACACAGGACAGGCGGCGGGAGGCCAGCTGTAGTGAGGGGTGTGCGCGCGCTGGGCGGGGCCTGGAGCCTCCCTCCCCACACACACCTGCCTCTCCAGGTCAAGCCGGGTGACCCCCTGAAGAGTGGCGTTGCTAAATGGAGACATGCAAAGCTCCCGGGATCACTGTGAGCTCTCCGTGGGTGTGCGCACTGGGCGGGCTGTGCAGGGCGCAGGCCTGCAGAGGTCCAACCACCGGGCTTCCGGGAGCCCAGGTGGCCGCTGGGCAGCCTGACCTTTGGGCTCTGGTCCCTGCATTGCGCAGCAGCCCAAGTCCCCGGGGAGGAACTGAGCTCCAGTGGGCACCGGGGTCTGCCTCACTCAGCTGCCTGGCCAGGGGGCAGGGAGCAGCCAGAGTCCCCCCAGCCTCTTGGAACCCTGGCTCTGCCCCCCGCCAGCAGCTGCCCCAGGCCCCGCCTCTCTGTGCCTCGGTGTCCCCATCAGTAAACCGGACACCGGCATTGCACAAGAGTGGGGTTTGCAGGACCCCACAAGGTCCTGAATGAATGAAAACAAAACAAAACAAAACAAAAACCAAGGCCTGGCACCTGGTTAACATGGGATAGTCATCATCACAGCGTTTCATCGGTTTTACTTTTTGAATTGGTAACAGAGTTGGGAGGAAAATTCAAGTCATGGAGAAGGTAGGGGGGGGGCTACTGATTGGACTCCAACAGCCATCAGGGACTTCTTGGGGGAAACTGAACGCAGACGGGGCAGCAGCTGGTCTTCAGCAGGGTTAACGTCCTGCGTGGGTATTCACAGTGTCGTGGCTGAGCCGGACACGGCCCTTTTACAGCCGGAACCCCCGGTGTTGGGGCGACAGTGTCTCACGTCTGTAGCTTCTTTGGATCGCTTTGAGCTTATTCATGAAACATTTCCAGCATAACCAAAAACGATAAGGAAAGCGAAGCTCTGGTCCGTGTGGTTCAATGGTTCAACCCTCGGCCCAGCACTGAAGGGTCTTGGGTTCGATTCTCAGTCAAGGGCACTACCTGGGTTGCAGGTTTGATCCCCAGGCCTGGTCGGGGTCATGAGGGAGGCAACCAGTCAATGTGTCTCTTTCACATCCATGTTTCTCCTCCCCCCAACCATTCCACTCGCTCTAAAACTCAGTGGGGGGGGGACCTCGGTGAGGATTAAAAAATAAAAATAAAATAAAAGAAAGGGAAGCCCCTTGGTCTAGATTCTAGACTCTCGCACGTGTGTGCTTGTCACGACATCCCCCACCCCATGCAAGCTTGCATTTTCTTCTGTGGGCGTATTTTATTCATTCTAATAATTATTTTTTAATCCTCACTCAAGGTTATGTTTTTATTGATTTTAGAGAGCGAAGAAGAGAGAGAGAGAGAGAAACATCAATCAGTTGCCTCATGTACACACCCCAACCGTGGATCAAACCCACAATGCGGGTATGGGCCCTGACCAGAAATCGAACCCACAACCTTTGGGCGCCTGGGGCCACGCTCCAACCAACTGAGCCACCCAGCCAGGGCCGGCTGCAATATGTTACAGCAAACCTCAGGCCGTGTATCATTTCACCCCTCCCCCCCCCCCCGTGTTCCACAGGTTGTAACTTACTTTAAAATACTTCACCCCCACCCCCACCCCCAGAACACAGATCTCGCGAGGATGGCGCAAAGTTCTCTTTGGTGAGGTCCGGTCAGCGGCGCAAGAGCCTTCACTGGGGCCCTTTTGACTTCTGTACGTTGGCAGCTGTGCACCGTCAAACCTCCCAAAGGTCAAAGAGCAAAGGAGCTTTCCCCTCTGCACCGCCCCCCTGCCCGCCTGCCCGGGTGCCCAGGGGCAACACTGAAGCCAGTTTCCGGGGATCCTTCCAGAGTGTCGGTGACGGTTGTTGCTGTCTTTATTAATAGCAGGCTGTAGTAGTGAAAATCGAGCCGGCTGGGCGACAGCGCCGTGAGTCAGCCTGGCCCAGGTCCCGCCGACACCTCTGCCCCCCTCTGGCCTGGCGTAAGGCGATCTGTCTCTCGGAACCTCAGTTTCCTGCTCTGTAAACTGGGGATAAATCCCCACCTTTACTGGGTGGCTGGGAGGGTCGCGTGGAAAGCACCCGTTCCCCAAAGCTGGGCTCAGAGCAGCTGATGAGGACATGGGAAAGACCTTCCCCACCGTCTCTGAGCTCCCATGTCCTGGGTCTGAGGGAGGAGGACTGGGGGCCTGGACCCCTGGGTCTGAGGGAGGAGGACTGGGGGCCTGGACCCCTGGTCTGAGGGAGGAGGGCTGGGGGCCTGGACCCCTGGTCTGAGGGAGGAGGGGCTGGGGGCCTGAACTCCTGGTCTGAGGGAGGAGGGCCTGGGGGCCTGGACCCCTGGTCTGAGGGAGGAGGGCTGGGGGCCTGGACCCCTGGTCTGAGGGAGGAGGGGCTGGGGGCCTGGACTCCTGGTCTGAGGGAGGAGAAGCTGGGGGCCCGGACTCCTGGTCTGAGGGAGGAGGGGCTGGGGGCCTGGACCCCTGGGTCTGAGGGCGGAGGGCTGGAGGCCTGGAGGCCTGGATCCTTGGTGCTGTGCTGCAGGGCTTTGGAGTGGTCTCCCTGACTCCTGAGACCAGCACTTTCAGCCCACTGAGGAACCAGAATGCACCGAGCTCTGTTATCCACCCCAGGTAAGGCTGTGAAGGGGCTTGTCTTCCTTTTCCTGAAGCCGTCAGGCCTGGCCACCGGGGGTTCACAATATGTTTTGTCCCCTCTGTTCTGGGACTAGAGCCCAGGCTCCAGGCTGGTCTAAGTTTGGAAGGGGGAGGGAGGGGGCAGCAGGTCAGAGGGGGTGAGGGAGGGGTGTGAGGGGTACAGGATGTCTCTGAGCTGTCACACACACCCCTGTCCCAGGCCCAGAGAAAGGGAGGGACAAAAGGCTGAGAGAGAGAGTCAGGAACAAAGACAGGAGGAGAGAGGAGACGGAGAGGCTCTGGGGAGAGGAGGCCATAGGGGAACCAGAGAAATAGAGAAGGAGAGGGGAAAACAGAGTTGGGGAGCCCCCTGATCACAGACAGCGGCGACACCAGTGGAGACTGTGTCGGGACAAGAAAAAAGGGCCAGGGACCAATAGAGACAGGGCAGGGAGACCCACCCCAGAGACCTGGGAGCTGAAACGAAGGCAAGACAGACAGGGAGGGTGGTGGGGAGGTCAGGGAGGGGAAGAAGAGGAGAGACGGAATAAGACATCAACAGGATAATACAGCGCAGTACCCACAGACACCCGGAGGGTGAAAGAGAAGAGAGTGGTCAGGTGGAGAGAGTCAGAGAAATCTTTGGACTCAGGCAGACACCGAGGGAAACCGAGGCATACCCCTTCAGATGAGCTTCTAGACTTTGGACCTGTGGGGCACATTGGGCTTGAGTGGGCCAGCTGCCTTTCAAGGAGCCCAGACAAGGGGGAGCCCAAGGGCCAGCTGACACCAGGCAACCCCAAGATGGAGCTCAGGGACCCTGAGAACCACGAGGATGGGGACCCAGAGGTGAGAGATGGGACACAAGGGAGGAAGAGAGAGAGAGAGAGAGAGACCAAGAGACAAATACAAAGAGAAGCGGAGTCAGAGATAGAAGGGGCAAGGGGCAGAAAGCAGATGCAGAGAGACAGAGAAAGAAACAGAAAGGAGGAGACCGGGAAACAGAGAAACATCAGAGATCCAGAGTAATGCAAACGCGAGGACACACAGCAAGACCCAGGCCCCGAGAAATACCCTCAGGAACAAAGAAAGGGAAGCACAGGGAGAAAGGAGGATGGAGAGAGAGAGACGGGTGGAGTGGGGGCTCCATGGGTGAGGACGCAGCCCCACTTGAAGCTGGGGGCTTCTAGGGGCTCCCACGGATCGCGGTGGGTGGGGTCTCTGAGACAATCACCCCTAACCTTGCCAGGACACAAAAACAGGTGGCCTCAGGCCGGGTGAGTCACTGTGACTCACCCTCCTCTCTGGGGACAGTGACCCTATCCCCCTGACCCCCCACATCAGCCCTGGCGTTGGCCTCCAATCTCCCCCGGTGCTCCCAAGTGGGTCCCATACTCACCCCCTCCCCGCCGCTGTCCCTCTGCTGCAGGAGGACACAGCTACAGCCCTCCAACGGCTCGTGGAGCTGACAGCCACCAGGGTGACCCCAGTGAGGAATCTGCGTGTCCAGTATCGCCTCATCCGAAAGCTTGGCTCAGGCTCCTATGGCCAAGTGCTCCTCGCCCGGCCTCGCCAAGGGGGTGAGTTCAGCCACCAAAAGGCAGACGCCAGGACGCCCCTTATTAGGGTTCTCAGAAGCCACCGAGACAGGGAGCATCCCGGGAAGAGCTGATGGGGGACCCTTCTTGATCGGGGCTCTCAGAAAGTTAGGAGCTCTGTAATCTTCTGAGAAACAGAATACACCCAGAGAGGACAAGAAACTTGTCTGAGGTCACACAGCAAGGTCAGAGTGCCCTGAGTCCCCCTCTGCCCCCATCTCCCTGGCAGGTCCGGCTGTGGCCCTGAAGCTCCTAAATCGAGACTCAGTCCTGAGAACCACCTTCCTGAGGGAGTTCTGTGTGGGCCGCTGCGTCTCATCACACCCAGGCTTGCTGCAGACCCTGGCAGGACCCCTGCAGACCCCCCGGCTCTACGCCTTCGCCCAGGAGTATGCGCCCTATGGGGATCTCAGCGGGATGCTGCAAGAGCCGGTGAGGCAGGCAGGGAACAACGTTGGGACTGTTCATCTCAGGTGCAACTTTGTCCCAAACCTCATTTCTGTCTCCAACCCTGGCCCTCAAGTCAGTGCCCAACCTAGCTCCACCCTAAGTCCCCAAATGACCTCCTTATTTCTAATTCTTAATGCAGTTTCATGCATGACCCTAACCCTAATTTATCCAAACACAAGCTTGGATGGGCAGGGATTTGGGGTTGGGATTGAGGGTGGATTCGGTCTGATGAAGGTGGTGGGGATGGAGACAGAGTTGGAGTTCTAGTTAGCACTGAGGTGGGGAGTGTGGACATGAGTGGAGTGGTGGGCTGAGTTTAGGATTGATTATAGATTGGTAATGGGTATGGAGAAGGGCATGGAAGGGGTCGCAGAGCAAGGCAGAGCTAGCTGAGGATATATACACAGATTGCGTTGGAGATGGGCTATAATGAGGTTTCCTCTAGAAAGGAGACTAGGTCAGACTGAATCCATGAGATTCCAGGGGGACTTGAGTATGATGATTAGGGTGGGGCCATCTTTGGGAACAGGCTTTGGGTTTGAAATAGAATTGGAAATAAACAAAAGGAAAGAAGAGAGGTTAGATGAAAGGAAGGAAGGAAGGAAGGAAGGAAGGAAGGAAGGAAGGAAGGAAGGAGAAAAAGAGAAGGAAGGGTGGATGGAAGGAAGGGTGAATGGATGGATAGATGGACAGTATAATGGATGGAAGGAAGGAAGGAAAGAAGGAAAGGTAGGTGGAAGGAAGGAAGGAAGGAAGGATGGATGGATGGATGGAGGGAGGGAAGGAAGGGTGAGAAAAAGAAGGAAAGGTGGATGGAAAGAAGGTGGAAAGATAAATGGAAGGAAGGAAGAAAGGTGGAAGGATGGAAGAAAGGGAATAAGGAAGGAAGGAAGGAAGGTAGGTAGATGGAAGGAAGAGTGGGAAGATAGATGGATGGATAGATGGAAGGGGTAATGAATGGATGGAATAAAGGAAGGAAATAAAGAAGGAAAGGTGGGTGGAAAGAGGGGAGGATGAAAGAAAAGAAGGCGGGGTGGAAGGAAGGAAGGATGAATGAATGGATGGAGAAAAGGATGGAAGGAAGGATAGATGGATAGAAGGAAGGGCGGATGGAAGGAAGGAAGGAAGGAAGGAAGGAAGGAAGGAAGGAAAAGGAAGGGTGGATGGAAGGAAGGGTGAATGGATGGATAGATGGCCAGTATAATGGATGGAAGGAAGGAAGGAAAGAAGGAAAGGTTGGTGGAAGGAAGGATGGAAGGATGGATGGATGGATGGATGGATGGATGGATGGAGAAAAGGATGGAGGGAAGGAAGGGTGAGAAAAAGAAGGAAGGGTGGATGGAAAGAAGGTGGAAAGATAAATGGAAGGAAGGAAGGAAGGAAGGAAGGAAGGAAGGAAGGAAGGAACGATATATGGATAGAAGGAAGGGTGGATGGAAGGAAGGATAGATGGAGAAGGAAGGGCGGATGGAAGGAAGGAAGGATATATGGATAGAAGGAAGGGCGGATGGAGGGAAGAAGGATAGATGGATAGAAGGAAGGGCGGATGGAGGGAAGGAAGGATAGATGGATAGAAGGAAGGGCGGATGGAAGGAAGGAAGGATAGATGGATAGAAGGAAGGGCGGATGGAGGGAAGGAAGGATAGATGGATAGAAGGAAGGGCGGATGGAAGGAAGGAAGGATAGATGGATAGAAGGAAGGGCAGATGGAAAGAAGGAAGGATAGATGGATAGAAGGAAGGGCAGATGGAAGGAAGGAAGGATAGATGGATAGAAGGAAGGGCAGATGGATGGAAGGAAGGATAGATGGATAGAAGGAAGGGCAGATGGAAGGAAGGAAGGATAGATGGATAGAAGGAAGGGCGGATGGAGGGAAGGAAGGATAGATGGATAGAAGGAAGGGCGGATGGAAGGAAGGAAGGATAGATGGATAGAAGGAAGGGTGGATGGAAGGAAGGAAGGATAGATGGATAGAAGGAAGGGCGGATGGATAGAAGGAAGGGCGGATGGAAAGAAGGAAGGATATATGGATAGAAGGAAGGGCAGATGGAAGGAAGGAAGGATAGATGGATAGAAGGAAGGGCAGATGGAGGAAGGAAGGATAGATGGATAGAAGGAAGGGTGGATGGAAAGAAGGAAGGATAGATGGATAGAAGGAAGGGCAGATGGAAGGAAAGAAGGATAGATGGATAGAAGGAAGGGCAGATGGAAGGAAGGAAGGATAGATGGATAGAAGGAAGGGTGGATGGAAAGAAGGAAGGATAGATGGATAGAAGGAAGGGTGGATGGAAAGAAGGAAGGATCGATGGATAGAAGGAAGGGCAGATGGAAGGAAGGAAGGATAGATGGATAGAAGGAAGGGCGGATGGAAGGAAGGAAGGATAGATGGATAGAAGGAAGGGCGGATGGAAGGAAGGAAGGATAGATGGATAGAAGGAAGGGCAGATGGAAAGAAGGAAGGATAGATGGATAGAAGGAAGGGCAGATGGATAGAAGGAAGGGCGGATGGAAGGAAGGAAGGAAGGAAGGAAGGAAGGAAGGAAGGAAGGAAGGAAAGAAGGGTGGGTGGATGGAAGGAAAGAAGGGTGGATGGAAGGAAGGAAGGAAGGAGGGAGGGAAGGAAGGAAGGAAGGGTGAATGGACGGAAGGAAGGGTGGATGGAAGGAGGGAGGGAAGGAGGGAGGGAAGGAGGGAGGGAAGGAAGGAAGGAAGGAAGGAAGGAAGGAAGGAAGGAAGGAAGGAAGGAAGGAAGGAAGGAAGGAAGGAAGGGTGGATGGAAGGAGGGAAGAAAGCAGAAATGAATGGATGGACTTGGGATATTAAATAACTCCATAAATTATTGAATTGCTGACTGTGTGGTGGGATGGATGCTGAGTGGAAACTAGAATGGACTGTTGGGTGGAAAACTGGTCTGATGGACAGGCTGCAGGATGGCTGCCTGACCAGCTGGGTGGATAGATGTATCAATCAATTGGTGAAGTGACTGTCGAAGTGAAGAGCAGGGTCTGAATTGGAGATGGGATCTCGGTTAGCATGGGACGAAGAACAGAATTAAGTATGGGCTTTGTGTTCTCACTGGAGATCTGAGTAGTCAGGTAGGGGAGGTGAATAAGAAATGAAAGGAATGGTTTTGAGTATTAGGGTCAGGAGCAAGTTTGATGGAAGTTAAAAGAGCTTCTAGTTCAATTTTGGGTTAGGTCTACGGCAGGACAGGTGAGGGTGCCCGTTGTGGTTGGTCTACGGCAGGACAGGTGAGGGTGCCGTTGTGATTGGTCTACGGCAGGACAGGTGAGGGTGCCCGTGGTGGTTGGTCTACGGCAGGACAGGTGAGGGTGCCCGTGGTGGTTGGTCTATGGCAGGACAGGTGAGGGTGCCCGTGGTGGTTGGTCTACGGCAGGACAGGTGAGGGTGCCCGTGGTGGTTGGTCTATGGCAGGACAGGTGAGGGTGCCCGTGGTGGTTGGTCTACGGCAGGACAGGTGAGGGTGCCCGTGGTGGTTGGTCTACGGCAGGACAGGTGAGGGTGCCCGTGGTGGTTGGTCTACGGCAGGACAGGTGAGGGTGCCCGTGGTGGTTGGTCTACGGCAGGACAGGTGAGGGTGCCCGTGGTGGTTGGTCTACGGCAGGACAGGTGAGGGTGCCCGTGGTGGTTGGTCTACGGCAGGACAGGTGAGGGTGCCCGTGGTGGTTGGTCTACGGCAGGACAGGTGAGGGTGCCCGTGGTGGTTGGTCTACGGCAGGACAGGTGAGGGTGCCCGTGGTGGTTGGTCTACGGCAGGACAGGTGAGGGTGCCCGTGGTGGTTGGTCTACGGCAGGACAGGTGAGGGTGCCCGTGGTGGTTGGTCTACGGCAGGACAGGTGAGGGTGTCCGTTGTGGTTGGTCTACGGCAGGACAGGTGAGGGTGCCCGTTGTGGTTGGTCTACGGCAGTACAGGTGAGGGTGCCCGTGGTGGTTGAGGGTGATCTGGAGAAGGTGTTGGGAGGGGGTTACAGGGACATTAGAGGTAGCCACTGGTCTGGGTTTCTGGATTCTTAAACCCAAGAAGCAATATCAAGAAGGGGCCAAGGCACTCTGACCTTCACCTTCTCTCCTTGACCCCAGGGCCTCCCCGAGCTGCTGGTGAAGCGGGTGATGGCCCAGCTAGCCGGAGCCCTGGACTTCCTCCACAGCCGGGGACTGGTCCACGCGGACGTGAAGCCTGACAATGTGCTGGTCTTTGACCCCGCCTGCAGCCGTGTGGCTCTAGGAGACCTGGGCCTCACTCGACCTGAGGGCAGCCCGACCCCTGCCCCCCCGGGGCCGCTGCCCTCTGCCCCACCGGAGCTCTGTCTCCTGCTGCCCCCCGATACCCTGCCCTTGCGGCCATCCTTGGACTCCTGGGGCCTGGGGGTGCTTCTCTTCTGCGCCGCCACGGCCTGTTTCCCTTGGGACGTGGCCCTGGCCCCCGACCCCGAGTTCGAGGCCTTTGCTGGCTGGATGACCACCAGGCCCCAGCCACCCCAACCACCGCCCCCTTGGGACAGGTTTGCACCCCCGGCTCTGGCTTTGCTTCAGGGGCTTCTGGACCTGGATCCTGAGACGAGGAGCCCCGCACTGGCTGTCCTGAACTTCCTGGGGGACGACTGGGGGTTGGAGGGGAACAGAGGGGGACCTGGGGGCTTGGGGAGCATGTCTGGGGAGGATGGGGAGGAGGACGAGGGGGGATCAAGCTTGGAGGAGTGGACAGAGGAGGAGGAAGAGGAGCAGCAGGAGGAGGAGGAGGAGGAGGAGGACCAAGGTGGCGGGGGGGTGGAGACAGATGGGGGAACTCCCAGACTAGGTGACTGAGACAGGTGGCCAGAGCCTAAGCCAAAGGCCCCTCCCCCAGCCTCCATGGCCACCTGGATGGAGAGACAGCTGCTCCCGGGAGGACAGAGAAGGATACATTGCACTTCTCCCTACTGCAGGCCCAACTTGGTTGCACTATTCCCACCCCAAATGAAGGTCTGGGAGTCCAGGGCCCTCATCCCCTCCCCTCAGACCCAAGGGCCCTGCCCCCAGTCCCTCCTCCCTCAAGCACCCTTCCCTGAATGTGTCTCCTTGAAGAAAGGCACTGTCTCCCCTATAAATACGTGTCTGTACTATGGGAACATGGGGCTCCGATGAGATCACCCCTGTCCTCTAAGACCTTGCATGGCTCTCACGGTCCGTGGCACCAAATCTGGGCTTTCAGGATCCAAAACCATGGAACTCTCAGCCTGCCCCCGTCCCGGGCTCCTGGTGACGCTGAAGGAGCCACTCCTCCCCTGTGGACCCGAATCTGCACGCGCACACGTGCACGCACACGCAGGCACACGCAGGCACACACAGTCAGTGTCCTGCGTCCTTCCCAGCTCGTACCTCCGCAAGCCCCCACCGGCGTGCTCTCCGGCGCGCCAGGAGCTGGGTCCCCGTGAAGGTGTCTGCTTGTTCCCCGGCTCCCTCTCAGGCGCTCCGGCGTGGACTCTTCCCTCCTTCCTACATCCTTTCAGCTTCTGCTCGCACATCAGAGCGCCCTGTGCCTGCTCACGTCCGCACAGGTGGTGGGTGACCGCCCGAGCTCAGGGCCAGGCTGGTTGGCCGCACGGGGTTAGGTAGGGGGGCTGTGCTAGCGAGATCTGAAGAGCGGTGCTGCCCTGTCCGGTGTGGTTCAGTGGTTAGGGCGCTCGCCCGCAGACCAGAGGGTCTCGGGTTTGATTCCCGGTCAAAGGCACGTAACTGGGTTGCAGGCTTGATCCCTGGCCCTGGTGGGGGTCATGTGGGAGACAGCCAGTCGATGCATCCATGTTCTCTCTCTCTCCCTCTCCCTCCTTTCCACTCTTGTTGTAAAAACCGGTGGAAAACATATCCTTATTTTTTTTTTTTTATCCTCACCCGACAACATTTTCCCATTTTTTTGTTCAGGTAGAGTGGGAGGGAGAGAGAGAAACAGAGAGAGAGAGAGAAACATCGATGTGAAAGGGACACATCGAGTGGCTGCCACCCGCACGACCGACCAGGGCCGGGGACAAACTGCAACCGAGGTACGTGCCCTTAGCGGGAACCGAACCCGGGTCTCTCTGTACCGCAGGTCAACGCTCTTAACCGCTGAGTCAAACCGGCCAGGGCCATATCCTTATTTTTTAGGAGTGGGTTCACTCAGCCCAACGTGGCGTCTCAGGTTTGGGGGACGCTGATGAGGTGGGCTGTCTGGTGTGTGATGGTCCGTTTCCGAGCTTAGACAAATGCTCCGTTGGCTGAGAGACCCGTGGGGCATGGGTGAGGACACAGAAGTGCTCAGCACCCTCTTTGTAACTGTTCTCAAGATCTGAAAGTATTCCCAAATAAAAGTTTATTTTAAAAGAATGAAGTAAGATTGCATCTGTCACCTCACTGTAACCGGAGGGCCGGGGGTAGTCGACCAGGCCCACGGTCTCCCCCACCGGCACTGGGGTCCCTGCCCAGCTTCTCCCCCACAGCGAAGTCTGTGAGCTCAGACTGGACCCTCCCACGCCCTCCCCTCAGGCCCCTCTCTTCCCAGTTGTCCACCACCTGCTGCCCCTGGGCCCAAGTCTGAGCTCATCTCTCACAGCATCGGCCTGGAATCCACTGCCTCACCCGTTCCCACGGGACCCCAGTGTCATCCCCGGGACACCCTCACCGAACACTTGTGTCTGTCAATGGGCCACTGATGGGCAACCAGGGATGGGGGGGGGTCAAGGCAGGGGCTCCACAGAGAAATGACTTCATCCTCTGCAGGCAGGCCGGACTCCTGGGTCTGATGGGGGAGGGGCGGGGGGCCGGGCTCCTGGGTCTGATGGGGGAGGGGCTGGGGGCCCGGGCTCCTGGGTCTGATGGGGGAGGGGCTGGGGGCCTGGACTCCTGGGTCTGATGGGGGAGGGCTGGCGGCCTGGGTTTGATGGAGGAGGCACTGAGCTCCTGGGTTGGGGACATTTGTCCCGCCACAGCCAATTCTGGGAGTCAACACACGATGTCGCTCTGTCCCTAGTGGGATGGAGGGGGCGGGGCCAGAGGCGGGGCCTAGGACCCCAAGGTGGGGGCGGGGTCTTGCTCCTGGGCGGCCTCCGCTGGCATGGGCTCTGAGTGCTGGACACTGACCACAGCGGGCAGCCGAAGGGTCAGGCCAGCCTTGGAGAAGGTGAGGTCTGGAGGTCGGAGCCCAGGTCAGGGAGAGGCAAGGGTTAAAGGGCCTGAGGTGGGAGCCGCTGAGAGTAAAGCCAGGCAGGTGGCCAGAGTGTTGGGTCCCTCAGGGGAGCAGGAGCTGGACCCTAAGGCTGCAGGGTGGTTGAATATTAGGGACACAGAGTTTGGGGATCCCAAGATATGTGAGTTGTATAGGTTCCAGCAGAGACAGGAATGGGGGCCCTGACTGTTGGGTCTGAGGGAGGAGGGTCTGGGGGCTCAGATACTTGGGTCTGAGGGAGGAGGGGCTGGGAGCCCGGACTCCTGGGTCTGAGGGAGGAGGGCTGGAGGCCCGGACTCCTGGTCTGAGGGAGGAGGGGCTGGGGGCCCAGATACTTGGGTCTGAGAAAGGAGGGGCTGGGGGCCCGGACTCCTGGGTCTGAGGGAGGAGGGCTGGGGGCCCGGACTCCTGGGTCTGAGGGAGGAGGGCTGGGGGCCCGGACTCCTGGTCTGAGGGAGGAGGGGCTGGGGGCCCGGACTCCTGGTCTGAGGGAGGAGGGGCTGGGGGCCCAGATACTTGGGTCTGAGAAAGGAGGGGCTGGGGGCCCGGACTCCTGGTCTGAGGGAGGAGGAGGGGCTGGGGGCCTGGACTCCTGGGTCTGAGGGAGGAGGGGCTGGGGGCCCGGACTCCTGGTCTGAGGGAGGAGGGGCTGGGGGCCTGGACTCCTGGGTCTGAGGGAGGAGGGCTGGGGGCCTGGACTCCTGGTCTGAGGGAGGAGGGGCTGGGGGCCCGGACTCCTGGTCTGAGGGAGGAGGGGCCGGGGGCCTGGACTCCTGGGTCTGAGGGAGGAGGATGGGGCCCTGGACTCCTGGTCTGAGGGAGGAGGGGCTGGGGTCCTGGACTCCTGGTCTGAGGGAGGAGGACTGGGGTCCTGGACTCCTGGTCTGAGGGAGGAGGACTGGGGTCCTGGACTCCTGGTCTGAGGGAGGAGGACTGGGGTCCTGGACTCCTGGTCTGAGGGAGGAGGGGGGGCTCTTTGGCACGTTCCATCATGACTCAGTCTCCCTCTTCAGAGAAGCAGGAAACCAGTTGTGAGTCGAGATGAGGCCGAGCCTAAGATGGCAGATGTCCCTCACCCCTGCCCCCGCAGTCACCCAGTGGCCCAAGGGTGAAAGATGAACCAGATAACTCGAGACACCCCCATCTTGTTTCCACAGCAAACAGACTTGGGCCCTGGGGTGGACGAGCGGCCTCTGTCTCCTAAGCGCAAACAGGTGTTCCCTGCCCCTGGGGCCCGGGGCGGGGCTGTGCGCACCGGGGCCCGGGGACGCCTGGGTCCTAGTTGGGAGCACGGACTTGGGAGCAGTTACGGCCACAGCCCCTCCTCCCTCAGACCCAGGAGCCCGGCCCCCAGCCCCTGGTCAGACCCAGGTCTGGCGGCTGGGCCCTGGGTCACGCCCTGCGCTCTGCCCGCAGCCATGCCGGGCAGACAGTCCGACGAGGAACAGGTGAAGGAGGGGGCTGCCGAGAACGGAGCTGACGCGGAGGAGGAGCTGGGGGGCCTCACGGCGGAGGAGCTGCAGCAGGGCCAGGAGGCCGCGCTGGCCCTGGAGGACATGATGGCGCTGAGCGCCCAGACCCTGGTCCGAGCCGAGGTGGACGAGCTCTACCAGCAAGTGCGTCCCCTGGGCCAGGGCCGCTTCGGCCAGGTCCTGCTGGTCACCCACCGTCAGAAAGGTACCCGGCCCGGGGACGGGGGCGGCAGGGTGAACCCTGCAGGGCCCGCCAAGGCTGCAGAGCCCGTGGACCCAAATCAAGTGTTGCTTCTGTCCTCCAAGCTGTGTTCTCAGGAAGTCCTCTGTGAGCTCATGTCAGGACACAGAGAGGTCCCCCCCGGAGGCCCTCATGTGTGGCCAGCTTATCGGTCACCATGGGGATGGTTCGGAACCAGGCAGTGTGCCAGGCACCTAGCAATCTGGTGTCTTTCTGCCCGTGTGCCCCGCCCGCCCTCCCCACGACAGTAGGACACTGTGGATGGGGCTCGGAATCCAGATGAGGATGGACCCACCTTCCGAGTTCTCCCGAGGCTCAGCCCAGCCCGGAGGCGCAGGGAGGCAGAGGACCTGTAAGCCCACCTTCCAGGAGGACGACCTAGGCTGCCCCCACACAGGACCCCACATGAACAGGGCGGCTCCAACATCAGAAATCTGGTTTCTCCCAGGTCTGGAGGTTGCCAATCCGAGGTCAAGGAGTCAGCAGGGCTGTTCCTCCTGAGGCCTCCCTCCTGGGCCTGTAGATGGCCGTCTCCTCCGTGCGTCCTACAGGGTCCCCCCTCTGTGCGTCTGTGTCTTAATGGCCTCAGATTGGACCCCCTATGACCTCATTTTACCCCTTTCAATAGCCCCTCTCCAAGTACAGTCACATTCTGCGCTATCCAGGGTGAGAACCTGGATTTGGTGGGCGGGGCGGGGAGGGGCCTATTCAGCCCAGAACAAAGGGAAAGACGAGCTCAGACCCAGGTCATTGCAGAACCGGGAGGCAGGAGGCTTATAGAGGCTGCCTGGACATGCTCGCGGATCTCTGGGCAGCACAGCCGGACGGACGGACAGAGTTCGGCACAGACAGGCAGAGTTTCTCGGAACAAGCCGCAGGGCTCCGAGCTGCTGGTCCAGCTGGAACATGAGTGGGAGGGGGGTGGTCAGCATCTTAGGGAGGAGGTGACCTTCCTCCGTCACACGCGGCCTCCAGATGGCCGAGGCTGGGCCCTGGCAGGTGGTGGCGATGACATGGAAGAGACCAGAGATCCCGCCGTGGAGAGCGCACGTTCTCGGAAGCGGTTCCCACACGTGGCGGAATTCCTGGAAATTCCTTAGTTGGATCTAACACCCGGCGCGAGGTATCTTTCCCGGTCGCCTGGGACACGGGGGTCACGCTGGGTCACGGAAGGTCCCGGATTCAATTTTCACGGTGTCCCTTGGTGGGCTCCACGTTCGTGGCCTTGAAGCGAGCAGAGCAGTAACTCGTAAATGCTGTTATATTATTACTGTGACCCCCGCCCCAGGGTGCTTGGCAGCCATGCTGTTTACGGCAGGCTTGGCAGGGAGGCAGGGATCAGAGGAGCTGGAGACGGGAGATGGAAAAGACTCCGTGCTGGTGGCCAGCGAGGATGACCCCAGGTCTTGCTGTCCCCGCTGTCCCCAGGCACGCCCCTGGCGCTGAAGCAGCTTCCGAAAGCCTCCACCTCCCTCCGTGGCTTCCTGTATGAGTTCTGCGTGGGGCTCTCGCTGGGCGCTCACTCCGCCGTGGTGGCGGCCTACGGCATCGGCATCGAGTCGGCCAACTCCTACAGCTTCCTGATGGAGCCCGTCCTGCACGGGGACCTCATCACCCTCATCCAGCCCAAGGTGCGTCCCCAGATCCCCAGCGGGCCTCCGGGAGCCTTCCTAGGTCTCACAGCGCTGAGCAACCTGGCCTCAGGAATCGCTGTTGCTCGCTGCCTCACCGGCCTTACTGCCCGCCCCCCGCACCCACCCCGCAGGCCCCTTGTTGGGCCCACGCTCTTAGGGAACTGCCAGCCCTCTTGGGCTCACTGACACCCCAGAACCAACACAACACCCTCTGGATTCGCCTGCCCCACGAGGTCACACTAGACCCCGCCAGACCTCACTGGGGCTCCCGGAGACACACCATCTGAGGCCCTTCGTTCTCCTGGGCCTGCTCCCTGGGGCGGGGAGAAGCTACATCACCCGATGGCCCTGATGGGTCTGCCCTGCAGGTGGGCCTCCCGCAGCCTGCAGCCCAGCGCTGCGCCTCCCAGCTGGCCTCCGCCCTGGAGTATATCCACGCCCACGGCCTCGTGTACCGGGACATCAAGCCCGAGAACGTGCTGGTGTACGACCCAGACTGCCGGCAGGTCAAGCTCACCGACTTCGGCCACACGAGGCCTCGCGGGACCCTGCTCCGCCTGACCGGGCCGCCCATCCCCTACACCGCCCCCGAGCTCTGCGCGCCCCCACCCCTCCCTGAGGGTCTGCCCATCCAGCCTGCGCTGGACGCCTGGGCACTGGGGGTCCTGCTGTTCTGCCTTCTCACGGGCTACTTCCCCTGGGACCAGCCCCTGGCCGAGACCGACCCCTTCTACGAGGACTTCCTCATCTGGCAGGCCTCGGGCCTACCCCAGGACCGGCCTCAGCCCTGGGTCGGCCTGACGCCTGTGGCAGATGCTCTCCTGTGGGGGCTGCTGGACCCCCACCCCCGAAAGAGGAGCCCCGTGAGCTCCGTCAGCAGCTACCTGGGACGACCCTGGAGGCAGGGGGAGGGGGAGGCTGAAGAGGTGGACAAGGGGGACGTGGAGGACAGAGAGTGAGAAAGGCCAGGGCAGCCTGGGTCCACACTTGCCCAGGAGATCCGGGAAGGAAACCAGGGCCCACATGCTGAGGTCCTGGGCATCCATGTGGTGCTTTTATCTCTGTCTCATTACTCTGCCCTTTCTGTCCTCCCCGTCTCCCTGCCTGGGCCTGCGGGGTCTCTGAGGTCCAGACATGTCTGCGCAAACCTGTACGCACACCTGTCTCCATCTGCCCCAGGGCCTTTGCACTTGCTGCCTGTCGTTTACATGTGGAGCCCTTGGCTCACACCCTCACCTCCTGCAAACCTGAAGTGGTTACACCTCCGATCTCCGGGGCCGCCCTGTCCCACCCTGGGCAGCACTGCCGGGGCCCCAGCCTGGCATTCCCACCCGAGTGTCCTGTGACATTCAGTCCCCTGCAGGGGCCCCATGTGCTCACGTGGTTACTCTGCGCCCTGCTGGAGCGCCAGCCCCTGAGGGTGGGGTCCCGGCCTGTCCTGTTCGCTCACGTGTCCCATGCAGCTGGGGCCATCCTGGCTAAAGCAAGCGGGCAGTGCAGGCTCCTTGGGTAAAGGGATCCTGCGGTTTTGCACCTGAGCTCTGTCCCCCTCCCTCCTCTGTCTCCTCCTCCTGGGTTTCCCTCCCTCCCCCCATCCTTCCCCTTCCTCCACAGGCTGGGCCGTGCGGTCTTTATACAGCGCTTTCTCCTCTTATCCAGCCACTTTCAACAAATAAAGTCCACCCTGCACTTAGGTCTCCATGATGCTGTTGGTCTGTCAGCCCGGAGAGGGAAGGACGTTGTGTGTGTGTGGGGAGGGGGTGGGGGTGGGGAGGGAGGCTCACACCAGAAAGAGCATTGTGCAGGGGGGAGAAACGAGAGAGACAGACAGACAGACAGAGAAGGAGGAAGAGAAAGAGACAGACAGATGGAGAGAGAGACATTTACAATTTACTTGTAATATTAAAAATGACCACATTATCGCCCTGGCTGGTTTGGCTCAGCGGTTAGAGTGTCGGCCTGCGGTCCCGAGAGACCCGGGTTCGGTTCCCGCTAAGGGCACGTACCTCGGTTGCAGTTTGTCCCTGGCCCTGGTTGGTCGTGCGGGTGGCAGCCACTCGATGTGTCCCTTCACGTCGATGTTTCTCTCTCTCTCTCTTTCTCTCTCTCCCTCCCACTCTATCTGAACAAAAAATGTCCTCAGGTGAGGATAAAAAAAAAAAAAAAAATGACCACATTATGAAAAAAGGGAGGGAGACGGAGAGGCAGGAAGAGAGACAGACAGACAGAGAGGGAGACACAGACAGAAAGAAGAAAAAAGGAGAGACAGAGACAGAGACAGAGAGGGCAGAACCACCCTCAGCCTGATGGAGAGTGGCTGGCTCTGGGGGTGTGTTGTGGGCGAAGCTGCTGGTGTGGGGCTCATCCGGGCCTCTTTCGGCACATCCGCGTGTGAAAGGAGGAGACGGATTAGAGGGAGCTTGAGCCCTGACCAGTTTGGCTCAGCGGTTAGAGCGTCAGCCTGCGGTCCTGAGAGACCCAGGTTCAGTTCCCATTAAGGGCATGTACCTCGGTTGCAGTTGGTCCCCGGCCCTGGTTGGTCGTGCGGGTGGCAGCCACTCGATGTGTCCCTTTCATGTCGATGTTTCTCTCTCTCCCTCCCACTCTTATCTGAACAAAAAATGGAAAAATGTCCTCGGGTGAGGATAAAACAATAAATAAATAAATAAAAAATAAATAAAGGGAGCTTGAGCCCTGGCCGGTTTGGCTCAGCGGTTGGAGCGTCGGCCTGCGGTCCAGAGAGACCGGGGTTCGGTTCCCGCTAAGGGCATGTACCTCGGTTGCAGTTTGTCCCCGGCCCTGGTTGGGTCGTGCGGGTGGCAGCCACTCGATGTGTCCCTTTCACGTTGATGTTTCTCTCTCTCTCTTCCTCTCTCTCCCTCCCACTCTACCCGAAAAAAAAAAAAGGAAGAATGTCCTCCGGTAAGGATAAAAAAAAAAAAGGAGCTTGAACGTGCCAGGTGGGGGGCGGACAGGGACGGGAGCTGGGTTCGAGTGCAGTTGTGTGTACAGGAGTGTCTGAGCCCGTGTGTGTGTGTGAGTGTTTGCATGCACAAAGCAGGGACGTGTGAGCGGGACACAAGCTTGAGTGCATGCACTCTGTGGGCATCAGACCTTATCTGCGTGGCCCCCAGGCCGTGAGTGCACACGCACGTGTGAGTGTGCATGGGGAGGGTCGGGAGGCACCGGGCTGGCGCCAGTACCAGTCACCAGCTGGGCCCCGCCCCTCCACACCTCCCCTCTCACCCGGCCCCTTCCTGGCAGCCGCCCTGTTTGCAAACACTCTGTCTTCCTCTCCGTGCCCTCCTTGGCCGCCCGCCCAGCGCAAGGCTACAACTAGAGCTGGGTCAGGTGTCACTCCGTTCCTGGCCCCCCCACACCCCCGTGCTCCTGCTGTGGCCTTCGGGGGCGGGGGGGGGGGCAGTGGTGTGTGTGACCGCGTATGTGCTGAGTGACCCCAAGGGCCCTTTGAACTTAGGTTCAATTCAGAGAACTGGGGACACAGGCCCCTGCACTGGGCAATCCAGGTAAGCTTCCTGGAGTAGGGGGTCCTAGAGGGATGCCTCATGGGACAGCATGATCAGGACCACCTTATCCACGAATCTGAAATAGATCCGAAATAGCCCGAGCAATTAGGCCAGGAATGTGTCCCCAGAAAGCTGGAGGCGCCGGGAGAGGGTGGCGCTGAGCGGGCGAACGGGTGTGAGTGGAAATGAGCCGGGTGGAGATGAGCCAGAGGGAAGGTGGCTGCAGACGGTGTTAACTGGTGGCAGCAGCTGAGGCTGAACTGGGAGGTGACAATGACCAGGGTGGGCCTCGGGGGCAGGGGAGGACAGAAATTCCCGAGAAGGGCCTGCAGGGGGTGGGGCAATGTTGATTAAATGCCCCTTAGCTAAGTGACACCAAACAGGAACCCGCAACACTTAGTGCTGACAGGCAGCTCCGCAAGGTGTCTGCTTGGCCCCTCAGAGCCGCCTCGGCCCAGGTGGGCGGTGACGGCCCAGGGCCAGCCTCTGCTCAGGGCAGGTCAGGGTGCAGGTGGGCCTCAAACCTGGGCCGGCTCCTGTCCCCGGCTCAGCTCTTAAACGGCAGGAGTGTCCTGTCGTCATCAGCGGGGTAAGGGGCCCCGTGCGGGAGGCTGGGTGTGTGAGCATGGGTGTGTGAGTGTGTGTTACAAGTGTGAGTGTGCCCATGTGTTTGTGTGACAGTGAGTCTGCTATAAGAGTGTGGAAGTGTGTGTTGAGTGTGTGTGAGAATGGGGCAGTGTGTGTGAATGTGAGAGTGTGTGTGTGAGTGTGAGAGTGTGAGTGGGGAGTGTGTCGTTGTGAGTGTGCATGTGAGAATGTGGCAGCGTGTGTGTGAATGTGAGAATATGAGTGTGAGTGTGAGTGGGGAGTGTGTCGTTGTGCATGTGCATGTGAGAATGTGGCAGTGTGTGTGTGAATGTGAGAATATGAGTGTGAGTGGGAGTGGGGAGTGTGCATAGGTGGATGGGAGGAAGTTGGAATGCAACTGAGGAAGTGTGCGTGGGTATACGTGTGTGAGAATAAGTGTAGGTGAGGCATGTGAGTATGTGTCTATGTGTCAGTGAGGTGGTCACCCCCCCTTGGAGGAGATTGGAGAGGGGGTACCTAAATGAACACAGAAAATGGGGGCTGCAAAAGCCTTTAGAACACCAAAGGGTCACCATCAAAAGGCAGGCGATGGTGGCATGTTGGTGAGCACATGGACAAGTTGGAACCCTCCACAGTGAAGTGGAAAAAACGGGGCGGCCACTGGGGGAGACAGCGTGCATTTCTTCCCCGTGTTAGACACAGTTACCATGTGACCCAGCAATTCTACTCCTAGGCGTCCGCCCACGAAAAATGAAAACGTACATCCACATGAACATTCATAGCCACATTATTCACAGTAGCCGGAAACTGGAAACAACCCAAATGTCCATCAACAAATGAATGGATACACAAAATGTGGTCCATCCATACAATGGAATATTACTCAGCCATCAAAAAGAAGCCCTGGCATGTGCTGCGTCACAGAGGAACCTCAAAAACATCTCAAAGGGCAAGAAACCAGCCACAGGAGATGACCCGTTGCAGGATTCTACTTATATGAAATGTCCAAAGTAGGCAAATCCACGGAGAAAGACTAGTGACTGTCAGGGGTGGGGTCGCCGCAGCAGGGGGAGACAGGGAGTGGAGGCCACTGGGTGCAGGCTTTCTTTCAGGGGATGGTAATGGTGGTAGAAACGTAATAAAATTAGATCGCGATGAGTATTGCACAGTTCTGAGTATATGACAAACCACGGAGTTGTACATGTAAAAGGGTGAATTCTTTTCTTTTCTTTTTTTTTATCCTCACCCGAGGACATTTTTAAATATTTTGTTCAGATAGAGTGGGAGGGAGGGAGAGAGAGAGAAACATCGACGTGAAAGGGACACATCGAGTGGCTGCCACCCACACGACCCAACCAGGGCCGGGGACAAACTGCAACCGAGGTATGTGCTCTTTTTTTTCCGAATTCTTTTTTCTTTATTAATTTTTTAGCAAGAGAGGAAGGGAGAGGGAGAGAGAGATAGAAACATCGATGAGAGAGAACATCGACTGGCCGCCTCCTGCATGCCCCCCCACTGGGGATCTGGCCCACAGCCTGGGCATGTGCCCTGACTGGGAATCGAACCAGCGACCTCTGGGTGCATGGGTTGATGTTCAGCCACTGAGCCTCACCGGCGGCAAAAGGGTAATTTTATGGCATGTGAATTTCACCTCAGTGAAGCTGCTTGGAACAAATAAAAACAAACAAGCCAGGCATTTCCAAGTTTCCTTTGCTGTGGTCTTGATCAGGTGTTTTCTTCACTGCGGCTCTAATTGCCGTTAAAAAGAAAAGAACAGCCCTGGCCGGTTTGGCTCAGCGGTTAGAGCGTCAGCCTGCGGTCCAGAGAGACCCGGGTTCGGTTCCCGCTAAGGGCAC